TTACTTGTTTTTCTCGCGAAGACAACAGCTGTAAATTATTTCGTTGATTAACTATTTTTTTATGACAGTATATACTTTATAACATTACAATTTTTTTTGTTTAAGGCTTGCTCTAAAGTCGTGCTTTAAATATGAGAATTTCAAGGGAATCATAGATTGTTATAGGGCACCGTCAGAAATAGACTTCATGTTTGGTAAAAAGCTAAAGTTTCTCGTTTGCAACTTCTGGATACAGTGTTCTAGTTCATTTATAATTTTTTTAATTACTGAAGATGGAGAGGTATATTACATAAAAATTTATATTATGATAAAAAAATATTTGATATTTGTAAAAAATAACTAATTATTATTCAATATATTTTAAATATTTTTCTATATTTAGGAATTGAATTATAGGTAGAGAAATAATAAAAATTGTTTTTATTTAGTTATATATAAAACATGTAAAAATAAATATAATAGAACTCTTTAAAATAACAAGATAAATTTTGTCTTTATAAAAATTTAGAATGTGTACTGTAGATTATAACATTTTTTACATACTCTATGTCGGTACTGTTATAATAAGTTACAGAAGATAGATCCTTATAAAGAGTATTACCTCAGTATCCCAATTCTGTAACTTTTAACGATAGTTTGGTACCGTTACATTGTTGTTGCGCAACTTTTTCATCATGCTTTATAATACGTCTGTTTTCTGTGACTGAACTAGTGTCTACTTTTGGAACTTAAAGTGAGAAAGTTATATGTTTCATATTTGTTGAAAGCGAAAAAGAGAGTTTTAATATCGTATAGTGCAGGAATAAAAAATATATCAAATATCTGCGCATCGACAAAATATTGATATCGACATTATTGTTAAGAGTTCCAGAATAGGGATTCTAAGGTATTACTCGAATCTGTATAAATACGCGGCTACCGACAGTTGTCGATATCGTTAACTACCAACAGTTAATATCAAGGACGAAGAACGGGATTTAGCGGTGCTCTTTGCTTTATATTTACATTATATAATATTATTTTATTTTTTAACACTGTTAATCGAATTAATCATAGTACGAAATAAGCATATATATAATGTAAAATATACAATAAGTAAAACCTATGATAATCTTTAACTATCTTTAAAAGAAATATTATTGGAGAAGCAACTTAACGGTGTTCGAAGAATTAGGCAAATTATTTGATGTCCGTTATTGGCCTGATGGAAACGACTGGACCAACATACGCATTGTAAAAACCGTATTTCATCCCGTTAACTCTCTGGTTTTAACTGATGATGGAAAGGTAAATTATGAATAAAATATTACAATTAATATAAGAATAATAATTTATATTGAATTTATTTAAATATACGGATTTAATTTAAAAATATTGTGATCATTTAATTTAGATATATTACTTAACTCCACTCCATATTTGGTGGAATAAACCTAACCGCAGAGTCCGCAATTATATCAGACAGATAAATATCAAAGGAAAAATCACAAACGTTGCTTGCGGACAACATTTTTATGTGGTTATTAGTAATAACAATGAAGTGTATGAATGGGGTTTGTCTAATAAATATGATTTGCTTAAAAGATCTGATGAATATGAAGACGATTTTATGACAGATCCATGTAAAGTGATCGAATTATCAGGCAAAACAGTTGGTAATATATTTCTCTTTAAAACTCTTATATTAATCTAAAAAAGTGAAAATATATAGTAAATCTTGAATTTATGAATGTGACACTATTAAGTAATCAAATTTCTCTAATTTCGATATTTTAGTTAAGGTTGTTTGTGGACACTTCCATACACTTGTCCTCACTGATAAAGGAAAGGTCTATGCCTGGGGTGCTAACTATTATAACCAATTGAGTACATTCTTTACTGACGAAATTTTATCTCCTTTTATGGTGAATTATTTAATTGTCGTTGTTTGTAATTTCCATGATAAAAGGAACAAATAAAACACAATAAACTAAAAAATTTTGCGATTTCAGGTAAATATACCTAATGTAAACAAAATATCAGATATCGCCGTTATTGAATATACGAGCATTGTCAAATCTAGCGAAGATCAACTTGTCTATATACGAGGTCAGCTGTTTGCGGGGATGCAAATTAAGGAATTTGTTATTTGCGAATACACAAATATGTTTGATATATCCAATGTGACGACGGCACAATCACCGATATCCATTACTTCTACACATACCGATGAAGAATGTATCATATTAAACGATTTAGAAGCGGCGTTCGATGATAGTGTAAGTTTTTGTAAACTAACGTGTTAATGAATTAGGTTGATGCAAAGAAATGCAGGTTTTTCTGTATTGCAACTAAGAGCAGTCGTAACTTCATTAAAAAATGAACAAAATTTAAATTTAAAAAAGGATTTTAAAGGGCCTGAAAACTCTATTTCCAAAAACTTACTACATTTTTTGAATTTATGTGAGTTTGATAATTTTTACATATAGAAAACTACCAGCTGAAAAATATGAAAAAATTTCTTTTCACTTTATAGATTACGTGCCATCCCCCCCAAAAGTACAAAAAATTTTTGGCTATCTTTCGTGAAAGATTGAAGTTTTCTCTACAATATCGTTTTTTAATAATGTTCCTACGATTTCTTGTTCCTGAGTTACTCGCGGATTAAGTAAAAGTAGCATTCGGACTTTGACTGTCCATAACTCCGTTAAAAATCATTATATTGCAATAAAAAAATATAGATTTTTAAAGGGATGCTGGAGTGGCCAAATTATTACGTTACAGTCGTATAAAAATCTTTGAATTGACTGAATGGAATAAAAAATCCTATTATAGGATTGAAGTAGACGCAAAATTAGGAGCTGATGCAGTGGACCTTGTACTAAAATAAAAAAAAGTTAAAAAATTTTTTAACATACTCTCGATTTTAATATAACATCCATTGCTCCACCTCCTAGTTTTGCGTCTACTGTAATCTTGTAAAGGATTTTTTATTCCGTTTAGTCAATTCAAAGAGTTTTGTACGACTGTAATGTGATAATTTGGTCACTCCAGCATCCCCTTAAAGCTGAAACTTCGCTCTATCAAATGATATAATCGCTAACTTTTTAAAAACATAATAGAATATATTGGAAAAGAAAAATCTATCATTTTATAATATCGAAAATCGATATTTTTTTTGCATCAACCTAATACTTTAATAGATTTCCAATT